TTGGAGATAGTCGGTGTGTCGTTAAGAGGTAGGAACGTGAAAGATTCACGATTCGTCATTTTCACTGTTCTCTCTCCAAAATTGCATTCCGCACGAAACACGTGGCGCAATATTCACACGAAGCCTAAGAGACGGGAACGCCAGTGACAATAGTGATAAAACAATGTAAATTGCGTCGTTGAACTCGCGAGGAATGGAGAAAAGTGTGAGAAAGCAAATTACTCCCTCAAGATTGCATCCAATTTACACTCTCCTACCCGTCCTCGTTTCCTAATCGATTAACTTATCGCGTTGGAAGAGAATCGATATCGTTCCGATACTTCGCCTCAATTGCTATCACGATCAGTCTCGAAAGATAAATCCGGTCGTAAATTGCGCGATTTATTTTTCGTTTAAGCCCTTAGAGGTAACCTTTTACTCCGCATCTTAACGTTATTCGATATACATCAAACAGAAAACACGCGACTGGAAAATGTGCGCTTTAGAAGAGTACAGAAACGTCAAAACGTTTAATTGCACTGCCAGCCAAACGATAGTTGAAGCAAAAAAATAAAACGGGATTGTATTTTTTATTATTTCAGTATAAGTAAAATGACGAGACAAGCGCGTGGTGCGTGGAAGGTGTGTCAAAAAAGTTCAAAGCGCCGATCGCCGTAAAACGGCGTCTAAAATGAGATTTTAAAGCGTAAAACTTAAGCTTTTGAGCCTTAAACTGTGAGAAATTGATCAATCACAGTCGAATGTAAGGAGAATAATCGACTAACTAATCAATTTCTTACGGTTTAAGATTTAAAGTTAAAATTTTATACCTTAAAATCTCTGATGCTTTTCAGCAAGAACACAGATGACACGGTGTATTAACACAAGAATCATTACTGTGTGTCCATTTCTACCAATGTAGATTTAATCTTGATTTTATAATTTATTCTTTCTAAGAATCAGAAAAAGATAAAAAGTAAGTTAGACCAAGATTGAGTGAATCTACATTGGTAGAAACTGACATATCTACATTCTTGTAGTTTGCCAATGTTAAGTAAATGATCTGTGTTTCTTGCTGGAAAGCACGAATCAAAAATTATAAGTCGTAAAACTTAAACTTTAAGTCTTAAACCGTAAGAAATTGATTAATCAATCGATTATTCTCCTTACATTCGATTGTGATTGATCAATTTCTTACAGTTAAGATTTAAAAGCTTAGGTTTTACACTTTAAAATCTCATTGTAGACGCCGCTTAATGCAGTGCTGATTTGCAATTCTGGACATTGACTAGACTCCAGAACACGGATTAATCATTACGTCAATGTTATAATTTCTCTCTAAAACTTTTAAACCCGTTTTTACAATATACGGTTACCTAAAGGTTAAAGGTTACCAAGAAATTCATGAATGAATTTCATTGATGGATCCCTCAGTGACCTTTAACTTTTAAATAATCATATATCGTGAAAACGGCTCCTGAAATGAAGAGTGCAATTGCATGTTAAAGATTGAAAATTGAGCCACGTTTTTTTTTTTTAAGATTATACAGCTCAATTTTCACTCTTTGGGCCTAATTCTACCAATATAAGATTTTACTGTTTATTTTTTCCTAATTCTTATAGTTAAAAAAAGATAAAGGATAAGAAATTAAATCGAAATTAAAATTAATCTTGTATGGGTAGAATCGAAAATTAAAGTAGGATTTCATTTCAAAGAATTTCGAGAGTTTCTAACAATGTAATCGTTATAGTGCATAGGTACATACAGTGCATGTATATTATATTTATGGTTGCCATTTTTCCTGCTGGAGAGATTCCACTATCTTGCCAGAGATTGATTACCACTATTAAAATTACTATCTTGTAATGCATTCTCTAGAAAAAAGGATCATGAAATCTTTTCTGTTAGTCGGAAAACTGAACATTTGTTTAAAAAGTCAGAGAGATGGTAACCATTGGTTATATTACATTTATTGTCGAATGGAAAATTACAATTCTGATATAATGTTACTGTTAGTTTATGTTCCACAGTTCACGTGTCGGCATTCTACATGTCTCTATTCTACTTCCTTTTTCTACTTCCCCTAAGGATATTGAGTATCTATTTTCAAAATATTAGAAATTTAACAAAAATTTTACAAATTGTTCTATTATTACGTTTATGTAAAATTTGAGCACAATTTTCTTATTGGTTTAAAAATTATATAATTTTTTTGTTTGTCTTGATTCTTATGTAGAATCGCGTTTTATAATACTTATTTGCAAATTTGATGAGAAAATAATATCAAGAATTAAATCAAATTTTTATACATATACTAATAAAACAATATTTAATATTCGAAAAACAAGAAAAGAACAAGGGCAATAGGAGTCAAGCGCGGGAGACGTTGCGCAAATAACACGACTATCGTAGCGTAACACTTCTTTATTTTACTAAAGCGCTTACATGTTTCGGCTCATTTTTGAGCCTTCTTCAGAGACAACTAATAAACTCACATACATAGAATATAACAATTATTAACTAGTCATGGTGATCTTCCTCACCTCGAGAGTATAAATATCAGAATTAAATCCAGATAAGAATGCAGTAAAAAAAGAAAAAAAAAGGAAAAGAAATTTCGAAATTCTCGAAATAAAGAAAATGTAAAACTAATGTATCCAAAAATTTTTGAAATTATAATTAATTATTCCGATGGTTAGGAAGCTCACCCTGATCACAAGATACCGCATCGCAAACATTACTCTTAATAATTCAAAAACCGGTTTCTGATAAGTTGGCCAGTCAGTGTCATACACAGTTAGTCTCTTTTTGATTTAATTGGTCTTTATTGAGACAGTAATTAGAAAACTAGCGTTAAAAAATTAACCAAAATCAAGAAAAGAAATTTTGAAAATGATCTAAAGTCAACGCCCGACAGACTTCTTCCTGTGTACGAGCGACACTGACTGACTAAGCGCGACAACAATTCGACCTTTTATAGTTTATCAATAATCGGGAGGTAGG